TGGAAATTGATTCTTAAACGCTGTGAAGAATGATGCGAGATTGACTCCGTCCTCTGTTCTCTGTTCTCCGGGTAGCCACCCCTAACCCACGAGGAAGATGAACGGATGCTGCCGGAAAGCAATTTTCCCGGGGATGGTGGTTATTGGGTGTGGAAGTGGAAGTGGGAGTGGGAGTGGTGTGGGTGGTGCTGGAAGGCCATTAAACAGCAGTTCCCCATGCAGCAGTATAAAAAAATTTAAATGCCACTGTAAAAATGTGTTGGCAAAGGGATACGGATCCAGATACCGATACGGATACGGATGCGGATGCGGATGGGCAGGGACTGGAAATGGGATTGGGTCTGCGGATACATATTGGCAGAAGGAAAACAATGTGAAAAAGTGACCACAACAACATGGGCCGGGAGCAACCACAGCCGCCCCGGAAAGCTCAAAAATATATATGTAAATGGAAACGGACACAGAAGCAGTTACAGATGCGGACTCGGATACGTACAGATGTCGAGAGTCTTAAATTGCATTAACTCATTTAATGAGGTTCAAATTGAGGCTGGTGGGTGGTCGGCCGGTGGCGCCTCCCGGCCCCCACTCCGCCCCCTCCATCCCGGAATCCCACGCCACTTTGTCACACCAGCCGTGGCACAACCCGGAGTCCCCACTCCGGCGGAAGGGCACTGGCATCACTTTAAATTGCTGCTGTCAAGGCGAGGGTGTGAGTGTGAGGACTGGCTGGGACTGGGGAGTGGCGAACTATTTGTCATGCCTGTCATACTCTCGTACATCTTTGTCAACACTATTTAGAAGTTTAATAAGTTTTCACCCCGCTGAAGGGGATGGATTTGAATAGCAAGTGGGAGTGCCGTGGAACACCATGTTGCCGTGATAACACTTCTACCGAAGTCGGATTTTCCTCTGCAACGACTTATGAAATCACTCGAACATTCTCAAATCAAACTGAATCTATTAAAATATCCAGAAATTTAGACTTCAAGACTAAACCTTAAGGAAGGTTGCGATAAAATGGCCATTTATGAACTCAGAGATGCCTAATTCAGTTTTATTCCTCTTATCGGGCGATATATTGTCAGTCTGTTTATTTAAAGTTTGCTGTATTGTAAATTTTGTTCAAGTCAGTTATTGTTCAATGCATAATTAATCAGTTTCGGCACACAAGACGCCAAAAAATGCAAAGTTACATCCAGCAACACCTGCACACCTGCTCCCTTTCCCCATTTCCCCTGCCAAAGAAAAGGCACAATTTAGATAATAAATATAAGATCTCGCAATATGATAAAGTCATAATTGCTACCGCCAGCCCCACCCAGCTTTCTGGCACCTGGAAAACTCAATCAGCCGGGCATCATAAATTTATGAGAACTAAATTAAATTATTCAATCAGTTGCCAATCCCAATCGCAATGCCCCAGCTCCTCCCCGTGTATTATTATTACCTTTGTCAGCGAGTGTGTGCCGTTTTTTCCATGGCATCGGCTTCGGCATCGCAGGCAAATCTGCGTGAGAGTCTCCGGAGGGAGGTAATGTACTATACTATATATGTGCGATATTCCCCTCGCCATCGGCCGATGTTGCTGTTGCTGTTGCTGGTATTTCTGGTGTTGCTGCTGCTGTCGTTGTTGCTGTTGCTGTTGCCGTTGCTGTTGCCGTTGCTGTTGCTGGTGTCGTGTATGCAAATGTTTGACAGTGTCGCTTTATTGTTCCGCTCTGTTCCATTTGGTTTAGCACTCGGGGGAGGGCAAGTGCCAGAACCACTTGCCTTCTGCCCGGAGTTGCCGCCGTGGATGTTGCTTAGTTGTGGAAAGTCACGCTGCCATATTGCGTGTTTTGATTGATGGATAAGCGCGATATTTGTTTTGCAAACACTTGACAGGAGGCTTGATTAAAAAACTTCACTGCTCACATGGGACCTGGCACTCGGAACTGGCTGCCAGTGCCGGGCAACCTCCTCGACGACATTTACGGGCGTGTCCCAGGACCAGGCGACTCCACCCCCGGAACCCAGGAACCCGGGAACCCCCGAAACCCCCGAAACCCCGGAACCCGATCCATCTGATTCCCGGAGGGGGCGACACCAGGAACAATTACCAGAGGGCGGTAGATACCATTTACATGGCTCTTACGCCTGTTCCTGATTTCTTGTCGCTATTTGTTTCACGACCTTTGTTGAACATGCAAATTACCATTAATGAAATTGTCGAAACGCTAGCAGCAGACCGCGCACAATCTTTCTTCCTGTCAGATATGTCATCGCGAGTTCTCCGGCTCAGCCGAATGGAGTCCCAGCGTTGATTAATCGAAATCCCATGAAGCCGCTCATATCCACATACAGATGCAGCCGGATTCCATTGGCCGTGGACGTGTTCATTTGTTTATCATCCGTTTATTTTGGCGGGGATCCGGAAAGGTGACAGATGTTCCATGGTCACCGTGAGTGGGCAACTATCTCTGGTGGGTTTATGCAAACTCCTCGAGAGGATAACTCCCCACTGAGAGAAAAAAACAGCAAGTAGTGTCTTACAGGAAAGCCTTTCAAGCCAACAGGGTACTCAACAATCTTTTGGTTGGTTGAATCAGCCAAGACGCCGATTCTCTTTGTTGTGTTTTTAACCTATGATCCAAAGTAATTGGAGGTGGAAAATTATTAAAAAGGAAAGCTAAAAACTTTTTTACCCTCTATAGGTAATTTTTAAATGGTTAAAATATGTTTGAAGTCTCTTTAATGGCTAAATATTTGTAATCATCTTTGACCTTTATGGCAACCTATTCAAAAACAATTTTAAAGAAAACAAGAAAGGAAAGCTAACTTCGGGCGGAGCCGAAGTTGATATACCCTTGCAGAATACTCTGTAAATTATATTCTCCAAAATTATTCATATGATGCATTCTAAATACTCATATAAAATCCCAACTTCCTAACTTTAAAAACACCAAAGTTATGGCATTTCCAATCGTTCAGTTATATGGCAGCTATAAGATATAGTCGACCGATCCTTATGAAGTTTGGTAGGTCGGATTGATTGGCCAAAAATAAAACCCATAGAAAATCCCAACTTCCTAACTTTACAAACACCAAAGTTATGTCATTTCCGATCAATCAGTTATATGGCAGCTATAGGATATAGTCGGCCGATCCTTATAAAATTTGGTACGTCAAATTGATTGGCCAAATGTAAAACCCATAGAAAATCCCAACTTCCTAACTTTACAAACACCAAAGTTGCGGCATTTCCGATCGTTCAGTTATATGGCAGCTATAGGATATAGTCGGCCGATCCTTATAAAATTTGGTACGTAAAATTTATTGGCCAAATGTAAAACCCATAGAAAATCCCAACTTCCTAACTTTAAAAACACCAAAGTTATGGCATTTCCGATCGTTCAGTTATATGGCAGCTATAGGATATAGTCGGCCGATCCCGGCCGTTCCGACTTATATACTGCGTGCAAAGGAAAGAAGGGTGTGTGCAAAGTTTCAATTCGATATCTTTAAAACTGAGAGACTAGTTCGCGTAGAAACAGACAGACGGACAGACAGACGGACAGACAGACGGACAGACGGACATGGCTATATCAACTCAGGAGGTGATCCTGATCAAGAATATATATACTTTATATGGTCGGAGATGTCTCCTTCACTGCGTTGCACACTTTTGACCAAAATTATAATACCCTCTGCAAGGGTATAACAAGAAAGAAAAGCTAACTTCGGGCGGAGCCGAAGTTGATATACCCTTCCAGAATACTCTGTAAATTATATTCTCCAAAAATATTCATATGATGCATTCTTAATACTCATAAAAATCCCAACTTCCTAACTTTAAAAACACCAAAGTTATTTCCAATCGTTCAGTTATATGGCGGCTATAGGATATAGTCGGCCGATCCTTATGAAATTTGGTAGGTCGGATTGATTGGCCGACTATATCCTATAGCTACCATATAACTGAACGATTGGAAATGCCATAACTTTGGTGTTTTTAAAGTTAGGAAGTTGGGATTTTTTATGAGTATTAAGAACGCATCATATGAATAATTTTGGAGAATATAATTTGCAGAATATTCTGCAAGGGTATTTCAACTTCGGCTCCGCCCGAAGTTAGCTTTCCTTTCTTGTTTTATATAAATCAAATAGAAGTCCTTTTTATACCCTTGCAAAGGGGAATATAATTTCAGTGAAAAGTTTGCAACGCATTGAAGGAGACATTTCCGACCCTATAAAGTATATATATTCTTGATCAGCATCGCCAGGAGAGTCGATCTAGCCATGTCCGTCCGTCCGTCCGTTTCTACGCAAACTAGTCCCTCAGTTTTAAAGTTATCTGCTTGAAACTTTCCCAAAAGTTGTCTTTCTATTGCAGGTAGTATATAAGTCGGAACGAGCCGGATCGGGCGACTATATCATATAGCTGCCATATAACTGAACGATCGGAAAACCCATAACGTTTTTGTTTTTAAAGTTAGGGAGTCGGGATTTTCTATGAGTTTTATTTTTGGCCAATTAATCCGACCTACCAAATTTCATAAGGATCGGTCGACTATATCCTATAGCTGCCATATAACTGAACGATTGGAAATAACTTTGGTGTTTTTAAAGTTAGGAAGTTGGGATTTTTATGAGTATTAAGAATGCATCATATGAATATTTTTGGAGAATATAATTTACAGAGTATTCTGGAAGGGTATATCAACTTCGGCTCCGCCCGAAGTTAGCTTTCCTTTCTTTTTTTTTTGAATTTTTTGATAGCTTTAAAGCTGTGGGACTAGTTTGCGTAGAAACGGACGGACAGACAAACGGACAGACGGACATGGCTAGATCGACTCTCCTGGCGATGCTGGTCAAGAATATATATACTGTATAGGGTCGCAAATGTTTCCTTCACTGCGTTGCAAACTTTTGACTGAAATTATAATACTCTCTGCAAGGGTACAAAACGAAATTAGTCCAATATGTCATTTTCTCTGGGTGATATTGATGTCATTTTATTATTTAAACTTTAAGGTTTGTGTTATCCAACCTGTGTAATATGTAATATTTGTAAGAATGACCACACCGTTCTTCCTAAAGCTCTTCATGCCGTAGAGAAAGAACTTTTCGCCCGACAACGTATTTACGTTGGCACCAAATTCGTAACCAGGATGTATATCGGAATTCGATTCTTTCACACAGATTTGATCGTCATTTATGAGATTTCCAATGGCAATAGAGCAATTGGAACGATCAATGACGGTGAAGTTCTCAAATTCATATATAAAGTCATCATTTTTCGGAGAATGAAAAATGACAGTAAGCGATGTTGGTGGGTTTTCCGACATCTGATGAGTTGGGCGGAAGCAGATCGGTGCCAGACGGTCTGAAGTAAGGTAACGAAAGTTAAAAAGAAAGGAAGTTGGTAAAATAAATTAACTTACCAGAATAACGCGCCCTTTGATCAAGTTCAAGCAAAGCTATATCATTTGCATAACTCGTGTTGAAGTCGGTGAATTGGGGATGCTTGTGTATAGATTTTACGGTAAAGTCGACACCGGCGAACGCCCTAAGTTGTCAGCATCAAAAATATAAACAACAAATTGTTAATAAATTTGTAATAATTATCTTATGATTCTTTTATTCTGTGCTTGACAGTTTAGTAACCGATACGAAATCAGATAATGAAAATATTGTTTATCATCAAAACAGTACAAGTCATTGCTATATATTCTTATCTAACAAAAATAATAAAACTTATTTTAGTTTAAGTGGAAGGGAGAGCACACTTCAAAAAATTTAAAAACTCTTGATTATTTTTGATCCATAACAGTACGTGTCAAGGTCCTATTTGATCAGATAATGTCGATGCATTTGTATTAAGATCCTAAGTCCATTTTATGATCCGCGTACACAAATAATAACTTCGAGAGATTTCAGTAAAAATTTTAAATTGGTTAATATTATTTCATTGTTAATTGCTACTTACCTAATCTTTACATTTCTGGGCAAACTACTTGCAGTAGTAAGAACAAAGCCTAGAAACGTAAATTAAAATGTTATCGAGTATTATGTTTACGATTGAAAATACTTACGATTTGTGATTAAGGTGCCAAATGGATAATTGCTATTTACAATACAGTCTAGAAAACGTAAATTAAAATATTATCGACTATTAAGTTTACCATTGAAAATAATTACGTTCTCTGGAGATTACCCAATTAGCAGGAAAGCAAGAATAAAGTATTACTTTCCAGGGTCCGTGAACAGATCCATGTTTATCCCAAGTGTTGCTGCAGTGCTCATCCAACAAGGGCTCCTGATCCTGATCGTAATTGTTAGCCGAAATGGTATTTTTGATCCATTGTCTGAAGACCGTAACGTTCGCGTAGATGCCACTAGCGTTGCAGAATCTGGAACCAACGCTGGTGATCCCAATCAGTGTGGGAAATACGTGTCCTCGATATGTGATATTGGCGACCAAAGGACCACCTGAGTCACCATTGCAAGTGTCGCCTCTTTCGGCACCAGCACAGATCTCCGATTCCTCGTAAAACCTTAAGCAAGATTGCGGTGTGTGGGAAAGATTGATGGTCTGAAGGATTGGGCTTAACCTTTGATTCTCCGTCTCACCCCAGCCATATGCCGAGAAATTCACGATCGACGACGTTTTTAGCCCGTCACCAGTGACAATGCAGATCGAACGGATATATTCTAATCAACCACATTAAATTAAAGTATTATTCCACATTAAACGATGTTAGCTTGCAAATACGGAATTCTTTTAAATAAAGACTATTGAACCGGAAATTGAATTGCATTAAATAATCAAGTATGTACTGTGCTAGGGCTTAAGAAATTTTTAATTTAATATAAAACCAAACAAGAAAGGAAGCAAACTTCGGCAAACCGAAGTTTATACACCCTTGCAGTTGTTACAAATCGACTACATTTCGATATCTACATATGTCTATATTACTAAAAAGAATGAGACCATGGCAGGTATATGATATTGTTGTCCAATTTTAATTTTATTTAAACCGTAATTCCATAATATTTAAACACAGAGTGCCCCATCTAGCGTTTGCTTTTTGAACTATCGATAATTTTGACTTTGACATTTCAAATGTCATTATCAATGTGTCAGATATTTAGTAGAAGGTTTGCGGTTTACGAAATGGTTAAGTTTACGCTCGAAGAAAATTGGGAAATATTGAAAACTTTTTTCCAAAGTGGAGAGTCTTCAACCGAAACTGCCAAAAAATTGCGGTCAAAATTCGAAAATCGCATAATCAGCCGAAACGGCAATGTGAACTAGGCGCCTCGCAGCTGCGATTTGACCCCGTTGGACTATTTTTTGTGGGGTGTCGTCAAGGATAAGTGTTACGCCAACCACCCAGAGTCGGTTGACGACCTAAAGCACGAGATTGAAGTCGCCATCAGGGCCATTGAGGGCCATACCATCGAAAATGTGCTTAACAAGAAAGGAAAGCTAACTTCGGGTGGAGCCTATGTTGATATACCCATGCAGAATATTCTGTAAATTATATTCTCCAAAATTATTCATATGATGCATTCTAAATACTGATCAAAAATCACAACTTCCTTACTTTGAAAACACCAAAGTTATGGCATTTCCAACCGTTCAGTTATATGGCAGCTATATGATATAGTCGCCCGATCCTTTTCGTTCCGACTTATATATTACCTGCAATAGAAAGACAACTTTTGGGGAAAGTTTCAAGCAGATAGAAGCGAAATATCTTGAAAAACATCAAATTTGGACCGATTTCACCCTATTATTCCCATGGGAGCACGCGCTTTTACCCTGATCAAGGTATGCATTAAAAATAAGATTTGGAAAGGTGAATGTCAATAGCTTTTACACTGCTCGAAATATCTTCAATTTTTGCAAGGTATATCCGATTGTTCGTATGGGAGCTATAGGATATAGACTTGATCTGCTTACACATGTTTTAGGACGACTATGAAAGTTTCAGATCGTTAGCTTTTAAACTGAGCTCGCAAACGGTATTGAAACAGACGGACTCCCCTATTGATCCTGATCAAGAATATATACTTTATGGGGTCGGAAATGTCTCCATTACTGCGTTACAAACATCTGACTAAAATTATAATACTCTCTGCAAGGGGGTATAAAAGTGTTTTTAAGAAAGGTTATATATTTTCCTATGGTTATTATTAGCTTACCATTGTAAACCACTTCCACGCTCAATTTTAAAATAGCGATATCATTTTCATTGGTATTGGTGTTATAATCGGGATGAGGTATGGTCTTAATCACATCATAATTTTTTATTTCTGGGCACTTTTCTTCTGGGCAGGAAGTGTTGTACATCCCTAAGCTCACCAGTCTATGCGAACAAGATTAGACAAACAGTTTTTTCTGCGTCGGCAGGGTACTTACAAGTTTTCAAAGTTTTCAATGCAGTGGGCGGCTGTCAAGACGAAACCTGGAAAGAATGCGATTAAATGATTGCCAGTTTACTATGAAATAAGTGTACGTACGTGGATGAACGAGCGTGCCCCCGCAATACAAATCAGTTCCATTGCTTATGGCAGCAATCCAAGGAGTAGTACCCCGGCGTGCATTATTTCCTGAAATTATTCTTCTTTGAACCTTATGGTCACAGTTACTATCCACTAGTTGACGCATTTCATCCCGGCAGAATACCAAGACAAACAGTCCCAAGAAAATCACAAAAGACGTCATTCCTAGTGAAGTGATCTGAAATTACTAAATGCAATCGGCAATTTTTTCGAAACAGGAGGCTTATCAACTACTGATTCAAAGGTTAATGTGTTTTTGTCTCAATGGGAGCTATATGTTTCAAGCAGATAGCTTTACAACTGAGGTCAATATTCTTGTTGTAAAATATAGATCATGTTTTTTCACTCAGTGTACTTAAAATCGACAGTGATATATTGATAATGATATATATCTTGGGTTTTAGGAAATCGATTCCTTAACAGAAAAATAGTATTTTTTGGGGTTGAGGGTGGTGCATCCAACTATAAGATTCCCGGCAGGAGGCTTCTTTCTTGTTGTAGTGTACGTTTTGGCTGTGACACCAAATACTCTATTGACTTTAAAAGCGGTTGAAAGAAAGGCCAACTCCTACAAGGATTTACCACTTAAACGCCGTAAGGAATTATTTGAACTTAACTCTTGAGGGAACGGATAATTTACTTGAGGGTCTATGTCCCGGCATGTAAGGCACATACTCGAATATGTATTATATTGACTGGAATCATTAAGGTGGCCACCGAGCTCCGGGCGGTAATGGATTGGATATTTGTAACCCACAATTACGATAACTGCATAATGGCATATTTATCATGAACGGACTGCTAATCAATGTGGTGGGGGAAGTGGAAGTGGGTGGTGCGGTGCTTGAGTGGGCGAAGGGGTTGAGGGTCAATCGGGTTCGACAAATGTCCCCCCGGCATGCTTTGTATTTATTTAGCCCGAATAAAGATGTCATAAAAAACAAATTCCACTTTTATGTTTTGGCTTGGCCACCGGGCGGAAAAGATTCATGGCCCAATCGAATTGGCCCTTAGCAGAAATCACAAATGGGGTGCTCCAGTCGGGCTGCACTGAACGAAAATTTTAGGTAGTAGTTTAGTATTTATCATTTAGTTTGATTTATACTATTCAAATATTTAAAAAGCAAAACATCAATGATAGTTGAAGGCTGTTTTAAGAAATTTAACAGAGCTAAGAATCTTTCAATATAATTGAGATTTTTATGGAGATGTAATCATTAGAAGTCGCAAAAAGGTGTAGTGGTTGACATAATTAAAAGGAAAATTTCTACAACTTGTAAGCAAAATGTTTAAGATATAAATGTTTAAAATATATTTATTTCGTGAATCGATTTCGATAGACCTCAAAATATTTTTATAAATCATAATACCATTAATATGCATTTAAATTGAAACAAGTAGTTCCGGTTTCTTAATATTTTCAATCTATTTAAAGCAAAGCGTTGTCTTGCGAATGCTTTATGGTATGTTTAAAAGCATTTTCCCACTGATACATCGAGTGTGCTTTTTTTCGAGTGTGATGCTATTAGAGATGATGCCCAATTTCAAAGGACTTGCAATATCCAGGCACTCGGCACTGACATTGAAATTAGCAGCTGAAAGGGTTGGAGCGCATACATTTCGCAGATCCCGAGGGTGGAGTCCTCCCCTGCATGTTGATGTTGTCACCCTTGTGCCGGTGAGCTGCTTACATCCTCGGACCAGGGCCACATCCCCATCCCCCTTCCCATCCCCATCCCCATATCCATCCACTTTCACTTTCACTTTCACTGCCCAGTTGGATGGAGGCGAAGGGTTGGGCCGGGCTTAAATGATTTGTCGCCTTTTACGCGAGCGATTACCACATTATAGGCTAAAGCGCTCCTTATATCGGAAAACACTTTCGTTTATTGCAGCCGTGCTCGGGGTATTCCGGTATTCCCACTGGTGGGCCACTAAGTCCGGAAAATGGGGGTTCCCAGCACCCTGGCGGGAGTGGGCGGGAGTGGGTGGGAGTGGGCGGGCATTGCGACACATTCCGCCTTTTCCCATCGGGTTCATAAATAATATCCCGGCCTGCCTGCATAAACAACAAAAGCCACCGTACACGAATTCAATTTGGAGCTGGAGCTGAAGCTGAGCCCGAGTCTGATCCTGAGCCCTTTTTTCAGCTCCGCTAATGAGTTTTTACGCAATTTCGTGTGCCGGAATTATTAAAGGCCAACACACAGAAATTGTAATCTGTACACAGAGAGAATTCCATCGACCCGAAATTGAGTTTTGCGCAATTTAGGAATAATACTGCTCTACAAACCGATGATTAAAATTATATTGTGTGTTTATGTACTTATGTTTTTTTGGCCTGTAGGTTATCCAAAACTATTTTATCAAGAGTATGAATATAAATTAACAATTAAATAACTAAAAAATGTATAATGTTAGTTTAAGTATATATATATACATAGGTTAAAAATATTAAACGTGTCACTTTGTCCATGTATTTTTCCGCTGGTTTTTCCAAACCATTCAGCATTGAAATTGTGCAGTTACTATGCAAAATGTTGTTCTTAGTAGATTTTGTTTCAATATTTTTTGTTTTTATATATATATATTTTTTTTAATTTTGTTTTTTTTTTGGAAAAATAGAAAAAAATTAATTCCATTTTTGGCTTATAGTTTCCAAGTGGGAATTGTACCTGTATTATTTTTAGTGTAACAGCGCCTGTTTTATATTTTCTTGGTTATAAACGACTAGCAGGGTGCCCGCAGCTTCGCTTGCGATGGATAACCCCAATATCCTACTTTTCTTATGTAATAAGTATGTGAACATGGGGCAGACCACGTTTTTGCTAGTCAATAGAATACATAAAACACTGTACTTCACCAAACAATTGGCCTTTAACCAACAGCGCCATTAATGTTTTAACTTTTAAATGAAAGACTCGAGATATCAGGTCATGACGATTCTGAGGTTTTTGGCCTGGAAACAACTCATTCGTTATTTCCTCCCATTTAGGGTTACAGGTAAATGTTATAAAAATATCAGGTCGGCCATGATGTCGAACATAAGTCATAGCATCCTGGGTCTTTTCATGCATATATCGAGGAGAGCCTGTAAAAGTGGAAGGTAAAATCACCATTTGACCAAGTTGAGTCATATCTGCATCTCCCCTACCTATAGCGTCTTGAAGATGTACATATGTAACTTTCTGCTCCCAACTTTTTTTGATTTGCTCGAATATAATTAAGCCGTTCGGTTTCCATTTTTGCACTCATATCAACCAAAAATTGATTGAACAGAGCTCAATAATAATGCACGTGATTGACTTTAGTCTCCCTTAGAATTATTCGATAACTGTAAAAGCTAAATGCAGATACAGTCTTCTTTAGATCATTTTTGTTAACGGATCCCGTTGGGGAATATTTATGGAATATCCATCATATCCGTGGCAAAAAATTAATGGATATTGTAGACAGTCATAAGATCTTTAAAGTTCACTTTGCTATTATGACTCTCAATAACAATGTCCCGACTTGAAAATTGTTGAAACCCACTTCATTTGTTTGAGGTGCATTATAACGACCTCTATGAGCATTTGCTGGCTTTTTATCAGCGTTAATGACCATTTTGAAGTCTTTGCAATCTTTTGGGTCACCAATAACTATAAACTAATGTCTACAGATATTAAAACCATATTAAAGCTCATTTTATATTTTTAAGGAAGCGTACGGAAATGCAAGGCAGAGAGAGAGGGAGGGAGATGGAATCATTTGTTGACAATTTGTATGAAAATGCAGAGAGAGATAGCAATATGCAGGCAGAAAACGTATGATGCTTATGGAGACACTTAAATTCGATAAAAGATCGACTTTTTGCTTAATTTCTTTGTTTAGAAGATAGCTAGAGCTTTGGTGAAACCATTAAATGAATCGTTAAAGCTTAAGTAAAAACTTTACCGAAGGAATTTTTGATACTCAGTTTGAAGATATTTTTGGCTAAATTGAAATTTTAGAACGGGTGTTAAAAATAGTAAAAAGCCTTAAATCTAAGCGGTCAAATTTTTTAAACATTTATAATGTCTTAAACTATTTTTGGGCGAAAACGGATTCGATTGCTAAAACGGTTTAGCGTCCAGAATTTTTGAAAGGAAAATTGACCTTTTTATACCCTTGCAGAGGGTATTATAATTTTGGTCAAAAGTGTGCAACGCAGTGAAGGAGACATCTCCGACCCTATAAAGTATATATATTCTTGATCAGGATCACCTCCAGAGTTGATATAGCCATGTCCGTCTGTCCGTCTGTCTGTCCGTCTGTCTGTTTCTACGCGAACTAGTCTCTCAGTTTTAAAGAATCGAATTGAAACTTTGCACACACCCTTCTTTCCTTTGCACGCAGTATATAAGTCGGAACGGCCGCGATCGGCCGACTATATCCTATAGCTGCCATATAACTGATTGATCGGAAATGCCATAACTCTGCTGTTTGTTAAGTTAGGAAGTTGGGACTCTCTATGGGTATTAAATTTGGCCAATCAATCCGACGTACCAAATTTCATAAGGATCGGCCGACTATATCCTATAGCTGCTATATAACTGATTGATCGGAAATGCCATAACTTTGGTGTTTGTAAAGTTAGGAAGCTGGGATTTTCTATGGGTTTTATATTTGACCAATTAATCCGACCTACCAAATTTCATAAGGATCGGCCGACTATATCTTATAGCTGCCATATAACTGAACGATTGGAAATGCCATAACTTTGGTGTTTTTAAAGTTGGGAAGTTGGGATTTTTTATGAGTATTAAGAATGCATCATATAAATAATTTTGGAGAATATAATTTACAGAATATTCTGCAAGGGTATATCAACTTCGGCTCCGTCCGAAGTTAGCTTTTCTTTCTTGTTTTAGAATTGACCTAGAGCTTCAGTAAAACCACCATATGAATCCTTAAGGTATCAGGATTCCCTCGAAAAATTTTCATATTGCTAATTGACTTAGATCAGTGTTTTTTGCCGTTAGGAAAAAATGAGGAAGATTCTTAGATTTTCAAAGATCGATAAAAAATAGTAAACATTAAAATATCGAATATTAAATTAAATAGAATCTTTATTATGTAGAGGACTAAATTTTGGCCAAAAATCGCATCGATTGATTAACGCGTTTAGCGTCCAGATTTTTTTTATAGAA